TTATCAAATAATTGTATGATTTTTACAGGAGCTCAACTACCACCCTTTCACCTACTAGAACAACAGATGACAGGTATTCAAGCTTACTCATACATTTTACACTTATTGTGGCTGCAAAAACTGTGGGCTTAAAAAGATCCATTTGATGCTTGTTGACTAGTTCTATGAATAAGTTTGAGTGTTATAATAAAATTTCAATGTAAAGAATGATGCAATGAGGAAATATAAATTAAAATTTAATGGAAAATACCTGCATGCAGAAAAAATTTAGCTGCATATGTTAGATACAACCACATGGTCAGATAATGAACAAAACCTGAAAGTTCACGAGGCACATCTGGGTATAGTTTGCATCAGTTTACACACTATACAAACTAACGTTCCTCTATATACCAAGACATGTATTCATCCACATTTCATGAGGTTATTATCAAGACTCCACTGTTTTCATTTAATCCATGACTTTGTTTGTGCTGTAGCATTTTTGGCTTCTCTCCTGGCATGGTGGCCTCCCCTGTCCTCATTCTCCTGCTAGCACTCATGGTTTTGATGCCTTGACGTACGTCTCCCACCCACGTCTTCACATGGACAGCGGCGGCAAATTTGCTAAATTCATTTCAGACGTTCTTCTTGTTGTTTTTCCTGAATATAATTAAAAATGGACGCCATTGATCAGAGCTAAATAGATTTACTATATGACTGGGAAATTCAGAGCTTTCCCTTGCAGATGATTCATACTTCAAGTACTTTGCTTAAATACTTAAAAATGTGCCTCTAATGCAACGGTTTGCCTTTGGCAGTGGGACGATATGTTTGTTAGGTTATCAATCAAGGATACTTTTGAAACTATTCATTGTGATGTTGTATATTCTCTATTTTTGGAACAAATAATAAACAAAAATGCACCAGCGTCTGTTGTGTCTGCTTTAGGAGGACTAAAATAAACAATAATATGTACACTATATGAACATTTAATGCATCTTTAAGAAGGTGTATGTGTGGTGACTATGGATGTACTTCATCCTGATTCTTTCTTGGAATTATGAGCACTTAATTCTGAGTTTGAGACTTTTATTGTATAGAAATAACCGTACT